AAAAAAAAAAAAGACTTAATTTAAAAAACTTATGGGGCGCCTGGGTGGCTCAGTCGGTTAAGCGGCCGACTTCGGCTCAGGTCATGATCTCACGGTCCGTGGGTTCAAGCCCCGCGTCGGGCTCTGTGCTGACAGCTCAGGGCCTGGAGCCTGTTTCGGATTCTGTGGCTCCCTCTCTCTGCCCCTCCCCCGTTCATGCTCTGTCTCTCTCTGTCTCAAAAATAAATAAACGTTAAAAAAATTAAAAAACAAAACAAAAAAAACTTATAAGCACAGTATCACTATCATATCTAAAAAACATTAACAATAATTCCTTAGTATCTTCGAACATTCTGTCAGAGTTCAAGCCTTCCCAGCTGTCTCATACTTTTGGGAAGCAATCACAAGTCTGCTAAAAATGACGCAAAAGAAAACAGGTACTGCTTAGGCTATGTATGAGTTAAGTAACTGTTGACAGTAAGCCTCCGGGGAGGGTTCTTATTTTTATTATTTTGTGTGTGTGTGGTTCTAATGGTACCTAGCACACCGAACTTTTAGTATCAACAAAAGAAAAATGTACGTACTTTTCTGAAAGCATCTGCTCGTTCAGTGGCTTTCCCAATGGCAAAACCTTAAAAAAGAAAAATGACAAATAAAAAAAGGGGCATAAATTTGGCACATACTGTCTTTCACTACATTTTAAGTTTCAGTTCCTACAATATTTCGTAGCATTTCATTTGTCTTCTGCCCACAGAAAACCTGCTATCCAAAACAAACCATAAAACATGAGGCTACTGAGATGTGCCTATCTGTTTTGGGGCATTTTGGAAAGATTACATTTGAAAGTATCTATGAAATCCAAGGTTAGGTGTATAACATTACCTTTTGTAAGTCTCTAGATAAAACGAAATAGACTTAAACAAAAACTAATCATGCTCTAAACTAATAAGATAAATGGTTTTGAACATTTTAAAAAATAGATTAAAATAACCAGAAAGGTTGGGGAAAAATATACATTGCTATAGAGAAAAACCATGACTTCGCTGGAACTTACAAATGCAATTCAAATTTCAATTAACCAGGAAATAAAATCAACAATTCTTAAGTTTGTGAATGCTTAACCCTATAAAATGAAATTTATCACAAATTAATGGAAATGCTGCCATTATTTGCTATCACATTAATTCTTTATTTTGAAGAATTATTTTATTTTTAAATTATATATAAGAAAGTAATATAAAGCAGGGCGCCTGGGTTTCTCAGTCAGTTGAGCGTCTGACTCTTGATTTCAGCTCAGATCATGATCTCCCAGTTTGTGAGTCCAAGCCTCGTGTGGGGCTCTATGCTGACAGCACAGAGCCTGCTTGGGGATTCTCTCCCTCTCTCTCTCTGCTCCTTTCCGTCTTGTGCACTCTCTCTCTCTCAAAATAAATAAACTTAAAGACAAAAAGTGTCAGTAGGCAGTTTTCCAATTTTCTCTCCTGTACACGTTCGTGTATACATTTCAAAACCAGATGTTCACTGGGGAAATTTTACAGAGAAGTATAAAGAAGAAAGTTTAAATGACTGGCAAACCTACAGATTAAACATTATTAACCATTTCAGTGTATATCCTTCTAGTCTTTGCATATAAACATACTTTATATTAAAAAAAACAAAACAAAAAATTGGGATTGTATTATACAGTCTTATATGAAGTTTTTTGTTTATTTTTAATTAGCATTATTTCATAAATAATTTTCTAATATATTCTTTAATGGCTACAGCATTTTACAATGTGTGGCTATACTTTTTTTTTTTT